ATAAATTATTGTCCATCCACACAATGGAATTAGTACATATTGACTGAAAAGACAAAAGTAGATCTATATTCTTTGCTAACAAAAGCTCCCCAGGATGAACTAAATTTCAAAAGTCAAGTTTAACACACTATGATAGCATCCTTCCTTTCACAAACAATTTCTAAAGCTTATTTTCTTATTGATATATAAGGATGTATCTATGTATACATGGATTCAGGCACACAATGCATACATTAAGACAGGTTCAAGAGTGGCAAACCTTAGGTTCAGGATTTGAATGCAAATGGGAGGGTAAGTCTTCAGGTTCATTTTACACTCACTATACCATCTAAATTTGCTGACTCTGTGCATTTACAGCATTTTCTAAAATGTCTATGGAATTTGTCCAAAGAGCTAGGGTTTGGGCCCCTCCGAATTTTGGTTTTGTTTTGTGTTTTTTTTCCTGATAAAAGTTACTTTTTTTAATGCAACAAGAACTGTCAAGTATGGAAGAAAAGGATCAGGTTAGCCATGGTAGGGTTTCTTGGTGCAAAATGAAGCATAAACAAATACTCATACCTAACCCATATCGTACCCACAGTACTCGCTCAATATGATCACATTCTCTTCCTCCCTCCAGAGTAAGCATGTTCAGTGAGGCACAAGTGTTTAATTAAGCACAATTTTCAAAAGCTGGATCAGGCCCCACTAGACGTATAAGTGCAATATACTTAGCACCATAAAGTTTGCTAATAATACATATCCATAAGGTAAAAGCCTCTTTATAGCAGAGTATTAGGTTAGCTAGAATCCAATTTATGGAAAAACCTCCTGTATATTCTCACTGGTAAGCAATAATGCATTTCAATTCCATCCTGACACAAAATCTCTCAGGTTCCTTTATGTTCTTTTAAATAAGAATCATAAAACATTAATAGAAGTGCTCTCCTAGGTCTCTATTCAAATGTTCTTGATTTGTAGATTTCATTAACAAAATCAAGAAAATTTTCTTTTGCCAATATTACAGAATAGGACAAAGCAGATAACACTTGCTTTGTGAAAACTTGCATAATGGCATTTAAAAACAACTTTGTGTGGGGGCCTTGTCAAAATCAGAAATGATTTCTTGTGAGGACTAGGCTTATTTTGATTGTCTTTTTAATAAGGAATAAGATGGATGCTTCAGCATATCAGGAGACAAAAACCAGTCAAAGGAATATTCTACTCTCCTTTATTCCTTCCCCTGAAGCAATGCCTTAAAAAAAATCAATTAGGATATATCTCACATTGCATTTCAGCCTTTTGCTGAAAAAGGAAAATTCTGAGCAATCTGGGACCATCTCCAGTCTCAACTCTGAGCTGGCATGGCCCCTTGCTCTTGGAGGCAGACAGAGAGAAGACTGCCCACAGCCTACAATTTCACTTGAGGGTGAAACAGGGACTTCAAAGGCAGGAGATATTCTGATCACTTCATTATATTCTCTGGAGCACAACAAGGAACAGTGGTGATAACCAATTCTCATTCACTTCCTCGCTGGGACAGGTTCAGGGGACAAGTCTTTGTCTTCCCCAGCAACAATATTAAACAGCATGCAGGACTAATTTCTCAAAGTGCATTTCTCATAGGAATTTTACAAGCATTACATGTTCTATTTGTTGTAATATATATTGTTTTCTGGGGAAAGGACACACAGATAATAGTCCAGTTGTAAGACTTGCTTATGAACAACAAATATTTGTTCCCAAGATACTGTTTATTACCAGTTTGGTGAGTTTGGAGAGATTTTAAGCCAATAAAGGACAATCTGAGCATAGGCCTCTCAGAATAATGCTAAATAGAATCACTGAAGAGAAACTTTTACATTTCTATGAGAATAAAAATTCAGGTTTTCACCCATATATTGACACTCAATTTACCCTTACCAGACAGAAACAGAAGCATGCTAAAAAAAAAAAAAAAAAAAAAAAAAAAAGGAGAAAAAAAAACCCCGGTGGAAAGGGGGGGGGGGAACCTTTTTATTTTCAGGCCCAAAGAAACTGACGACTGAAAGCGTTATACACCTCAGAGAACTTTGCCTTTTAATAATATGTAATAATATTTCTCATTAACATACATATCACTTATCAGCATTGCCTACCCACAAAGTATTTAGACACAAGGTATCTACACACAAAGTATTTTGTATGTGTTTACATTCATGGCCTTAACTCTTATACTAAGTGAACTCTATATAGCTTAAACTGTTTATTCACAAACACCTTATCTCATGAGATTGCCATCAGAATAAGCTATATATTATAGACTTTCAGTGTGTAAATAGTGGAAATAGAGCCTGAGAAAGAATGAGTTTTTAGGATCACACAATAGTTTCAAAACTTGAATTGGATATTTTTGCCTCCAAATCCTATTCCTTTCTATTAGTACCTTATTTACATACAATTAAATGAGACATTATATTAGAAATGTTATGGCTTATATGAGATTTATGCTTTATATACATTTCAGTTATAGGACACAACTCCTATCTTCAAATAACATACCTATGTATCATAGTCAATCAGCTCACAAATATTTATTGATTACCTAATATATGCCAAGCACTTTTTTAAGTCATAACAGTGAATATGAAGAATCTATGAAGAGCTGACATTCTAGGAAGACAGGAGCAAAAAATAAGCACAATATGATCATTTCAGGTACTGATAATTGCTAAAACAAAGACATGTTAGTGTAATACAATATAAGGTAGACCACTATGGGAGGCTGTTTTAGATGGGTGGTCAGTGAAAGCCTCTTTGAAGAAATGACATTTGAGTTGATAATCTCATTGAAGAGAAAGAAGTAGAAGGGAAGTAAAAGACCTGAAGGGGAGAACAATCCAAGCATAAAGATATCAAGTGCAAAGATTCTGATTTGTGTGAATTTATGGGTTGGGGGGGAGACAGAGTAACTGGTGCTTAGTGAGAAAGGAGAGACATAAAAAAGAAAAGTTAAAAACAAAAAAATAAACAAAAATCATGAGTTTGAAGAGATGAACAGGAGCCAAATCAGGGGGGGACTAAAACCGTGGCTTAATAAAGTAAAGCTTTATTTCTTATACATGTCACATTCTAGTTGCCTGGGGTAGGTGGTTTGCTCCATGGTGAGTGAAGAAGTCATCTTCCTTTCATCTTGTGGGAATACCATCTTTAACACAGGCCTTCAACTTGACCACACAAAAGGAAGGGAAACTAGAGGGACATGTTTTATGGGCCAGGCCTGGAAGTAACAACCACTTCTGCCTACATTCCATTGCCCAAATTCAGCCCACCTCCACAAGGGAGGTAGGGAATATAGTTTAGCTATGTGCTTAAAAAGAAGAGAAGAAAGGAGGATGCTGGGGACACCAGCATTCTTTGCCACTGTGTATACTATGTGCACACTTTGTATACATAGTTTTAAAAATGAACTTTCATGCACAATCTGAAACCTTCAGAAGGTTTTAAGCAGGAGAGTAACAGGAAGATATTGTAGAAATCAAGGCAAGAAATGAGGGTTGTTTGGATGAGTGATAGCAAACTGAATAAAGGAGAAGTGGTCAGATTAGAATTGCAGTTATTTTAGAAGAGGGGGGTAGAGTTTATTGACATGCTGGATGCAAGAATAAGAGAAAGAAAAAAATCAAGAATGACTTCTTGATTTCTTTTTCTTCTTTTCTTCTTTTGATTAAGCAATTGGTATAGTTGAGGTATAATGGCTTGGAGAAAATTAGATTTGGGACTGAGGTAGAGAGACTAGAGAGTCTGTCTATATTCCTAATTGGAAATACTAAGTTTGAAATACCAATTAGATCTCCAAGTGAAGACATCAAATAAGAAGCTGGTTATGTGAATGTGGAGCTCTGGAGAGCAACTCAGTTTGGAGATATAAATTTGAGATCATCAATTAATAGATGGAATACAAAATCCAGAAATGTCATTTTCTGATATTTGCAAAGAGCTAGAGAGATAATGTTTAAACACACATATATCTCTTAGTGAATATTTATAAAAGACACAAAAATTTGGATTAAAATACTTTTAGGAAAAACCATGTTTGAGAAAGTAACAAATTAATAGAATCATATTATGAACTTACATTAAGATACAGATATAATATCTTGTTTGCAATTAATGCAATAACAAGATATAATAGCTTTTCTATAAATCTTCTTTAAAGGGGATAGAATGGCATTATACAGGTATATGATGTATGTCCTGATTTTATCTCTTAGAAAAATTAAAAACCATGGCTCAAAATTTAAAGTAACATATAGAAAATCAAGTTTCTTGATATTGCCCACTGAAGTCTGAAAATATTAGGCACCAATAGAACTAGACCCAATTATAGTCAAAAAGATTATTTGATCTTCAAAGGGCTTATTCCTATTTGGAAACTTGTTATAAAAGTGTGCCACCAAATAAGATGTTTCAGATTTTACTTTTAGTTCAAAGTGGCCTACATATATATTATATATATTTCTATTTTTTTTTTTTTACTTTGAGACAGAGGGAGAAAGCACGTGGGGGAGGAACAGAGACAGAGAGGGAGAGAGAGAATCCCAAACAGGCTCTGTGCTAAGAGCCTAATGCAGGGCTTGACCCATGAACTATGACATTGTGACCTGAGCAAAAATCAAGAGTCAGACACTTAACCAACTGAGCCACTCAGGTGCTATATTTATAGCCACTCAGGTGCCCTATATTTCTAAATTTTTTATTCAATTAATGAATAATAGTTTAAAAAGCCTCAATCTCTGATATTTTTCTTAAAAAAAAAAACTGCAATGAAGTATTTTAAGAGTCTTTCTAGCTTGAACTCAACATAACACAAAAATGTTTAGCATCATACAGGCTGTTTTTTGCAATGCTGATTTGGTTCTTTCCCAGTGTCCTGGGCTTATACTTCATCTTATTACCAGTTTTCATCTGAATTCTTTGAGGAAGGGAATGATTTTGCTTTCGTTTCTTTGCTAGGAATTGCTTAATCCTGAAAGTCTTACCAGAAGATAAGGCAAGGCAAATCCAAGTGCACCCACTAAAATGAAGAGACAGAAAAAGAAGGCTTAGTTATATTTTATATATTACAGATTTCATCCTAAAATGGACTAAAGAGTTAATTTTACTTGTGTTAGCTGCTTACCCAAGCAGCCAGTCAAGTAGGTGGTTTTAATTTGTCGTAAAGAGACAAATTTTTTTTTAAAGTTAGTAGCTGGTCAATACAATTACTATTTAGGAAAAGAAAAGAGCATTACTAAAGCTTTAGGTGAAAAAAGAAAGTGGGAATGGTGTAAACATCACCCATATTAAAGACAAGTTATTGAAAAATATAAAATTCTTCCTATGAAGTTATATTGTGTTATTAATAATTTCCAATAACCTTCTTCTTGAGCATAAATACATTATCTTTAATTAAAATCCCAGTGAGGGGTCTTTATGGCATTACTGATCTCTTCTCCAGTGACTATTTTAAATAATCTGTGTCTGGAGTGGAAACAAGAGCATTGGATTACACAAATATCAAGACATCTCTAAACTCTCCCTGCATGAGGATATAAACAAATGCTGTCTGGAACATAGTAATCAAGAGCAATTCTCAATACTAGCCTCTTATTCAGAAAGTTTAAGTGCCAATCCCACCTTTTCATCAACCAAAGAAGAAAATAAATTCATTATAATGTTATATCTAATTCCATTCCTCACAATTAAACCAAGTCCCCCATTTATGGGAAGCAGTTTTCTTTTTAAGTGTATTTATTTTGAAACAGAGACAGCATGAGCAGGGAATGAGCAGAGAGAAAGAGAGGGAGACAGAGAATCCCAAGCAGGCTCTATGCTGCCAGGGGCAGATTCCAATGTGGGGCTTGAACCCACAAACCACAAAATCAAGACCTAAGCCAAAACCAAGAGTTGGATGCTTAACCAACTGAGCCACCCATGCTCCCCTTGTGGGAAAATTTTAAGGACAGAGTCCTCAGCATGGTAATCACCACCCTCCTTGCTTTCCTTAAGTCTCCATTTACCCCCCACAAATCTTCTTGGTATACTTTGTATGAGTCTTACTGTACAACTCTGTGTTTCCCCAACCTATGGCTTCATCTACCATCTTGTTCCAGCTCATACACACACCAAGGCCTATTACCTAGGATACATCTTCCTTATCAATATCAATGACCTTCTTATATGTTTTGCTTTGGGCAAACACTCAGATACATACAAATGCATGTGTGCACACAGGCACACACACACCAGGCCATGCCCTTTGAATTTCCACTGCACTGCCACACATCTACAGAGCACTTATCACATTCTAATGACGTGGTTATTCTGTGATCATTCTATCCATTCTGAGTAGCCAAAAAGCTTCTTGAAGTTTAGCACAATGCCTTGCTCAGAGGGTGAGGTAGTAAATGAAGATACACAGGAATAGGGGCCATAAGATGAGTCTGAAGCCCACTTACCAGCAGCTTAACCTCTTTCTCTCTCTAAACTTCCCTTTATTCATCTGTGCAATGAATGTATCAGAAATTACCATTCAGTGTGACTATAAGACTTAGATTGGTAATGTATGAGAAATCTTCTACAATATAAAGCAAACAAAGACATAAAGCATTATCATTTTACATCATCATTTTCCAGAATTAACCTATTTTATCATAAATGCTCAAAAGACATTTTTATATTCTTATCACATTGAAGATAGAAAGATGTGAAGTACTATTTTTAAAAAGCAAATTTAAAATAATCTCAGATCCAAATGGAGACCAGGCAAGTAAGACAAGGACCTCAAAGATACCCAAGTTTGTTGGGGCACCTGAGTGACTCCATGAGTTGAGCACCCGATTCTTGATTTCCACTCATGTCATGATCTCATGGTCCATGGGATCAAGTCCCGCATAGGTGTCTGTGCTGGCAGCATGGAGCCTGCCAGGGATCCTCTCTCACGCTCTCTCCCTCTCTTTCTGTCTTTCTCATACTCACACACACATTCTCTCTCTCTCAGTTAATAAACATTTTTTTAAAGATACACAGGTTTGTTGATGGTAATAAATAAATGCTTCTGTATCCACTTGCCCATTCCATCTGGCTATCAGAATGGCATAAAGGGACACCCCAGGGCTGGAAAATGTAAGAAATTATTCTCCTGATGTGGACAAATTGTCCCAAGGCCCTAGAAATTAAGATGATGTGCTGTCCTGACCACTGTGCCACCAACAAGAAGGGTCTGCCCCATCCCAAAGGGTTACAGTAGATGGAGGGGAAAATGTAGTTTTATTTTAAAGGCAGAAATATGGGTCACAGAGTAGAAGATTACAACCAAAAGTCCATATCAAGAAAAGAAACAGGAAAACGTGAATTCAGAAAAAGGCTTACATAGAGCAAATAGCTCTATACACTTGGCATATACTGTATTATAGCATAGTGTAACAATTGATATACACAATAATGATCGTGAATCATCAATAACTTTAAGTATGCTCCATATTCTTTATCTAATTAGGCAGAGATGTTGAATACTTTGCAGTGCTCTCATCATCTGGAAAAGTCTTGTGACCATAATCATTTGCAACAATAACAGATAAATGAAATGTTGCATTAATCAAATAAAACATTTTGCCTAACTCAATGTGAATGTACTAGGAATTTAAATAGAGGGTTCAAAAAGTGGTGGCGTTGTCAGGGAAGATTCCAAGAAGCTGGTAGTTAGTGCCTGTATTCTTCTTGGACTAGTTGGGAATAAGCAGAAGGAAGGATGAAATTCCAGAACAAAGGAACACCTCTATTAAAGGTGCGCAAGAATGAATATATATGGCATGTTGGTGAAGCCATACAGAGATCAGGCTGGAGAAAAAGCAATTTGAGAGTTAACAATTTAGCCAGAATGTAAAAAGACACTTAAAAGCCACAAGGAGAAATTTAGTTCTAACAAAACATGAAATAGTCACTCACTGAGCTTCTGAGCTAGAAGCAATCCGATGAAAGCAGTATTTAAGCACGCTTGTTTTTGTGTGGTTTTTGTTTGCTTGTTTGTCATCATTTGTTTTCAAGAAGACGGTGAATTAATTAGCCTGCAAACAAGGAAACAAGTCATCAGGTTCTTGGTATCACCCAGCCATCAAGTTCTCAGGACATGACTGGAAAATGATCTTTCCTTCCTTCCTTAAGTGTGTACCAATACATGAAGTAATCCTGTGAGAAGAGTTTTATCATCTAAACAGCCTCAAAACTTATGTGAAGAAACAAAAGTTAATTATTAAGAGAGCAAAAAGAGTTTTGAGTCATGACTTACCTGGGCAAAATCATTGTTTTTCATGATGTTCAAGGAAAAAACTTGAGTTTTCATGAAATGATTTTTAGGTTATAGTTTTTGTTTTTGTTTTTGTTCTTGTTTTTGTTTTTTATCACAACACTACTCTGAGACTAAATTTTAGGGCTTTTTGAGTATTACACAGTAGTGTTGAAATACCAACTTCTAGAGTAAAAGCGAACATATCACATTAAACTTTGATGAGCCTTCCAGAAATGATCCTAACATAAAATCATTTTCTAGGGGCACCTGGGTGGCTCAGTCGGTGAGGCGTCTGACTCCTGATTTCCGCTCAGGTCATGATCTCACAGTTTGTGAAATCAAGCCCTGCATGAGACTCTGCGCTGTAAGCATAGAACCTGCTTAGGATTCTCTCCCTTTCTCTCTCTCTGCTGCTCCTCCACTTGTTCTTTCTCTCAAAAATAAATAAATAAATATGAAAAATTTTTAAAAATCATTTTCTAAAGAAAGGGAAATATCCTGAATCCTGATCTGAGATATATTGACAAAGGAAGTCGTCATTCTCATTTTTTTTCTGGAAATCAGGAGAATAAAATTTAATAATTCATATTGATGTTGCATTCACATAGAGAAACCACAAATATACCGATAGGTCTCTTTGTCCATGGCTAGTAAAATAGCTGATAAGAATAGAACCCACTGAAACTACAGCCCACATCAAGATCCCTGTTTAAAGAAAATGCACAACATGGGATATACATCTATTTCACAAAGATATCATAAAGTCTTAGAAAAAAAAGGAAGAAGTTTTTTTTTTATTTTAAGAGCCTAAGGCTACATATGATAAATTATTTTCCTAACAAAGTGGTTTTATACTTGCTGAGTTTTATTAACAGCTTTAGAAGAGAGAATAAAGACAACTCTGTTAACATAATTGTTTCCTTTTTTTCCCCACATGGCTATTTGTTTTCATAAATAGATAAAATACCAAAGGTTCCCAACCTAGGTCTAATTGCCAGAGAAAAAGTGACTGAAGCAGGAAAGTACTAACGATTGTTTTCTCCCAGCACTTTCTAACCTGCAAAGGTTCTGACTTCTGAACTTGCCACATCCACTGCTCCTCAGTGTCAAGTTGCTAGATTGGACTTTTTATACATCAGTGGATATGGGGAAAATAGGAGGTGCTGTTAAGAGGAGATACTCAAGTATCTAAATACTCACTAAAATCCTCATTTGTAAACTGTAACTCCCTCAACAGAAATCACTGGCCATCTGTTGGGCTTAATGAACTGCCAATAAAAACTATTTTGATCTTAATTGGACTTCAACATGAATGTTTCTTAGGAACAAACAAATTACAAGTTTCTCTAAATGCCAATTTTCCCCATTGTTGCCTTTTCAGTGACTTTTCATTAAACCTCGGCTATTGATTTATCAAATCAGTAATACATAATAGGCTTTTTAATTTCTCTATTTCTCTCATTTCTCCTTTTTCCCATATTTTTGATTACTGGCAAATTCAGGAGTTATCTAAAACCTGCTGGACAGCCTCAGTAAAACTCCTCGAAGTTGTTCCCCACCCTTGCTGAAAAGAAAAATAAACATTTGTCTCTTTCTTCTCAATAAATAAAACATAAAAGAGGAAAGACATTTCATCTTCTTCTTTCTAAGGATGGGACCTTAAAAAATAAACTGGAGTAGAATTTGCCCACCTATGCTAATAATGTTATCACTACAATTTCTCCTAGTTTGAGAAAAACCAAGAGGCC